CAAGAGATAAGCAACAGGTTGCCTACAAAGGAAACCCCATAAGATTCTCAGCTAACTTCTCACAAGAAACACTATAGGCCAGAAGGGAATGTCATCAAGTAATCAAGGTCATGAAAAACAAGGATCTGAATCCAAGACTACTCTACCCAGCAAGGATATCATTCAAAACAGAAGGTCAAATAAAGAGCTTCCCAGACAAAGAAAGGCTAAGGGAATACATTAGCACCAAACTAGCATGGCAAGAAATGTTAAAAGGACTGCTGTAATTAATAGAAGAAATAGGAAGAAAAATGTAACCAAACTAAAGACAAATGGCAATAAATAAGTACATATCAATAATCACCTTAAATGTAAATGGATTGAATGCACTGATAAAAAGACACAGAGTAGCTGATTGGATAAGAAAGTATGATTCATCTATATGTTGTTTACAAGAGACCCACATCACAACAAAAGACTGACATAGGTGGAAAGTGAAGGGATGGAAAAAAATTTTCCAAGCAAACAGAAAAAAAAAATAAACTGGGGTAGCAATACTCATATCTGATAAAATAGATTTCAAAATGAAGGCCATAACTAGAGACAAAGAAGGCCACTACATAATATTGGAAGGATCTATCCAACAGGAAGATATAACCTTGATAAACTTATATGCACCCAATACAGGAGCACTAAAATATATTAAAAATCTTCTGGAAGACTTCAAAAGAGAAATCAACAACAATACAGTCATAGCAGGGGACTTCAACACCCCATTGACAGCACTGGATAGATCCTCTAGACCAAAAATTAGCAAGGAAACAGAGACTTTAAATGAAGCACTAGACCAAATGGATTTAATAGATGTCTACAGAGAATTACACCCCAAAACTACAGAATTCACATTCTTCTCAAGTGCACATGGGACATTCTCAAAGATAGACCACATGATAGGACACTAAATCTCTACAAGTTCAAGAAGATTGAAAGCATATCAAGCATCTTCTCAGGTCACAATGGCATGAAACTAGAAATCAATTGCAACAAGAACATGCAAAGACATTTGAACACATGGAGGCTAAATAGCATGTTATTAAACAATGAATGGGTTACCGAGGAAATCAAGGAAGAAATTAAAAACTTCCTGGTAACCAATGAAAATGAAGACACAACAACACAAAATCTATGGGATGCAGCAAAAGCAGTTCTGAGAGGGAAGTTTATAGCACTACAGGCCTATGTCAAGAAACAAGAAAAATTTCTAATTGACTGTCTAACCTCACAACTTAAAGAATTAGAAAGCAAACAAAAAGAAAACCCCAGAGCAAGTAGAAGGAAGGAAATAGTAAAGATCAGAGCCGAAATAAAGGACATAGAGACCAAAAAAACAATTCAAAGGATCAATGAAACAAAGAGCTGGCTTTTTGAAAAGATAAACCAGATTGATGGACCCTTAGCTAGATTCACCAAGAAACAAAGAGAGAGAACCCAAATACACAAAATCAGAAATGAAAGAGGAGAAGTAACAACTGACACCACAGAAATACAAAAGATCGTTAACAGCTACTATGAACAACCATATGGCAACAAATTCGACAATCTAAGTGAAATGGACAAATTTCTAGAAACACAGTCTCCCAAAACTGGACCGGGAGGAGATCAAAAACTTGAACAGACTAATAAGAACTAAGGAAATTGAAGAGGTTATCAAGATTCTCCCACCAAATAAAAGCCCAGGCCCAGATGGCTTCACGGGGGAGTTTTACCGAACATTCAAATAAGAACTAACACCCATTCTCCTCAAACTATTTCAAAAAATTTAAGACTAAGGAAGACTTCCAAACTTGTCGTATGAGACCAGCATAATTCTAATTACAAAACCAGAAAAAGATACTACAAAGAAAGAAAACTACAGGCCAATATCCCTGATGAACATAGACGCCAAAATCTTAAACAAAATATTAGCAAATCGGATCCAGTAATACACCAAACAAATTATCCACCATGACCAAGTGGGATTCATCCCAGGGATGCAAGGCTGGTACAATATTCGCAAATCAATAAATGTGATACACTACATAAATAAAATGAATAAAAACCACATGATCATATCAATTGAGGCTGAAAAAGCATTTGACAAAATCTAGCATCCATTTCTGATAAAAAAACACTCAGCAATATGGGAATAGAGGGATCATATCTCGACATAATAAAGGCCATATATGAAAGACCTATAGTCAGCATCATACTCAATGGGCAGAAACTAAAACATTTCCCTTAAGAACAGGAACAAGATGGATATCCACTTTCGCCACTCTTATTTAACATAGTACTGGAAGTCTTAGCCACAGCAATCAGACAGGAAGAAAAAATAAAAGGGATTCACATTGGAAAGGAGGAAGTGAAACTGTCATTATTTGCAGATGACATGATATTATACATAGAAAACCCTAAAGACTCCATCAAAAACTACTAGACTTAATAAACGCATTTGGCAAAGTAGCAGGATACAAAATTAACATCAAGAAATTGATGGCATTCGTATACACCAATGATAAACTCACAGAAAGAGAAACGAAAAAACAATCCCATTTACCATCGCGGCAAAAAAATTAAGATACCTAGCAATAAACTTAATCAAAGAAGTAAAGTACCTATTTGCAGAAAACTACAGTACATTGAAAAAAGAAATAGAGGAAGATATAAAAAAGTGGAAGCACATACCTTGTTCATGGATTGGAAGAATTAACATCATTAAAATGTCCATACTACCCAATCTATAGATTCAGTGCAATCCCCATCAAAATACCAATGACATATTTCACAGAACTAGAACAAATACTTTAAAAGTTCATATGGAACCAAAAAAGTCCCCGAATAACCACAGCAATTTTGATAAAGAAGGACCAAGTAGGTGGGATCACAATACGAGATATCAGGTTATACTATAAAGCGGCTGTAATCAAAACAGCCTGGTACTGGCACAAGAACAGGCATGTAGACCAGTGGAACAGAACTGAAAACCCAGAAATGGACCCAAGGCAATATGCTCAATTAATATTTGACAAAGGTGGCGAGAGCATACAGTGGAGTAAAGACAGCCTCTTTAATAAATGGTGCTGGGAAAATTGGACAGCTACATGCAAAAAAATGAAACTAGACTATCAACTTACACCATACACAAAAATAAACTCAAAATGGATAAAAGACTTAAATGTGACCCGTGAATCCATAAAAATTCTAGAAGAAAATGTAGGCATCAAAATTTCGGACATCATATGGATACATCACCTAAGGCAACAGAAACAGAGGGAAAAAATGAACACATGGGACTACATCAAACTGAAAAGCTTCTTCACAGCAAAAGAAACAGTCATCAAAATGGAAATGGAACCCACTGTATGGGAGAACATCATTGTCAATGATACATGAGATAAGGGATTAATTTCCTAAATATATGGAGTACTCATACAACTCAACAAAAGGAAGACAAGGAACCCAATTAAAAAATGGGCAGTGGACCTAAATAGACCCCTCTCCAAACAGGACACACAAATGGCCAAGAGACATATAAAGAAAAGCTGTGGTACATATACACAATGGAGTACTACGCAGCGGTAAGAAAGAAAGATCTCTTATCCTTTGAGACTACATGGAGGAACCTGGAAAGTATCATCCTAAGTGAAACAAGCCAAACAGAGAAAGACAAATTTCATATGATCTCACTTATTTGTGGAATATAATGAACATAACAGTTTGAGGAATGGGGTAGTCCCAGAGACGTGGAAGCGGGGTACAGACTGACAGTCCCCTAAGGAGTGGGGAGGTGGGGGAGGGATGAACCACAGAACTTATACGCATGTATGCATGAACAGTGGACATGGACAACAATCTGGGGAAGGGGCAGGGAGGGGAGGGGGAGGGACGAATCAGTTGGGGGGAAAAGGAGAATCATCTGTAACAAAAATTAATCAATAAAAAAAAAAGAAAGAAAAGAAATGCTCAACATCACTAATCATCAGAGAGATGCAAATTAAAACAACAATGAGGTATCACCTCACACCTGTCAGAATGGCCGCCATCAACAAATCATCAAACAACAAGTGTCGGGGAGAGTGTAGAGAAAAGGGGACTCTAGTACATTGCTGGTGGGAATGCAGACTGGTGCAGCCGTTGTGGAAAACAATATGGTGTTACCTCAAAAAATTAAAAATTGAACTTCCATTTGACCCAGTGATCCCGCTTCTAGGAATATACCCTACGAAGCCTGAAACACCAATCAGGAAGAATATATGTACCCCCATGTTCACAGCAGCACTATTTACAATAGCTAAGATCTGGAAACAGCCCAAGTGTCCACCAGTAGACAAATGGATAAAAAAGCAGTGGTACATATACACAATGGAGTACTATGCAGCTGTAAGAAAGAAAGATCTCTTTTCCTTTGAGACCACATGGAGGGACCTGGAAAGTATTATCCTAAGTGAAACAAGCCAAGCAGAAAAAGACAAATACCACATGATCTCACTTATATAAGGAATATAATGAACATAACAATCTGAGGAATACGGTAGACCCAGAAACATGGAAGTAGGGTACAGACTGACAACCCTCAGAAGAGGGGGTGGTGGGGGAGGGCAGAGGTAAACCACAGAACTCATATTCATGTATGCATGACCAATGGACATGGACAACAAAGCCGGGGATGGGGCGGGGGGGATGGGAAGGAGGGTGCCAATGTGGTGAAAAAGGAGAAACATCTGTAACAAAAATAAAATTAAAACAAACAAACAAAAAATCTCTGGTTATTGACTTTATATAAATGGTAGTATACTCTGATTCTTTGACTAGCATTTTTTCACTCAGTAATATTTTTGAGATTCACCTATGTTGATGTATGTAATCTGGCCCATTTATTTTTATTGCTTGTAATATCTATAAATTACTTATATGTTTTTTTCTGGATGGATATTTGTTACCAATTTTTGCAATTAACAAATAATGTTACTATGTTCTTTTACAGTTCTCCATGTGCACATTGGTGAGAGATTCTGTGGGGTACCTACCTGTGAATGAAATCGCTAGAAAGGTATGCATATGTTCAGCTTTACTAAGTACTGACAATCATCTAAAGTAGTACCCATTTGGATACCCACCTTCACTGATTAAATTCTCACTGTTCTGTACCCTTGTCAAAACTGACTTTCTGTCAGTTTGATGAGTGACATATCTCATTGTTCTTTTGAATTCCTTTGATTACTAGTGAGATTGGACATAGTTATGTTTATTAATATTACAAGTATTTTTTTCTTAGCACTTGTACATTACGGTGAAAGTTGTATGTAAAGTTCAAAGTAGCATGAAGTAGTTAGTACTGATAGAAACATACTATATTTGTATCTTTAAGGCATTTGCATCTTTGCAGATTTTTTTTTGGAGGAAATAATTCAGGATGATTTTCTGGTTGTATATTAGAGAGAGTGTGGACTTTGAAATTAAATTGATATTTGAATCCTGGCTTTTTGGTTTATCAGCTTTATAACTTTGGTCAGTTTGTACAATCTTTCTGGCTCTGTTTTCTCATCCTTAAAATTAGTGTAGTAATTTATGATTTGGTGATAGAATCAAATGAGATAACTAACACCTGGCACATGGCCCTAGTACATCATTTTAGGATGAAATAAACACATTAAATAATATGGAAGATTGTTAATACTATGGCATGTAATTAAATCAACACTGAAATTTGGCCACCATTTGTGAGATTTAAATGCGACCTGTTGATAGTTGACTCTGATATAAATGTACTTCAACTCAGGGCCAAGTGAGGAGACCACCGGCGTAGCAAATTCAGAGCAGCTCTGTATATATGCAAGGTATCTTTGGCAACTCCCGCTGGTCCCCACATGACTACCCCCCACCCCTACGTCACTTGTGTTCATCTTCTGTGCCCTGTCAGTTTTCTGCCAGTAAGAACGTAAGTGACTGTGACAAAGCTGTCCAGGTCTCAGCGGATAGGTGGGAGTAACCTTGGACTCTTGTGGGTGCCCCAGAATCTGGCCTTGGTTTGGGGCTCTGCCAGACAGTATGGGAGAAGTGGTCTGGGTGCCAGAGAGCTGAAGGCAGAAATGTGGGCCACAGTTGTGAACTGATGTTATTTAGACTGTCGCTGTGTCCCTTGCCACAGGAACTCCTTCGCATGGCTTCCACAGAAGTGACTGTCACCGTCCGCCTCATTCGTTCCTTTGAGCATCGAAATTTCAGACCTGTGGTATATCATGGAGTGAATTTGGACCAAACTGTAAAGGAATTTATAGTATTTCTGAAGCAAGGTATGAGACATTGTAGTCATCTTGTTTTATTAGTATTTTGAAAAAATAGTTGACTATTACATTGATAGTAATCTTTTAAACAATACGTGGAAGGGTATTAATGTAGGTGGTAAGCCAGGTGCTGGCTAGGCTGGCTCCTGATCTGGACCTTGGACAGGAGGAGAGGTGTCACCCCAGCGCTCACTTAGCAATGTGTGTCCTTTTCAGGGATCATTACCACCATGTTTGGCTTCTCTCTTTCTTTCTTTTTCTTTTTTATCCTTACCCGAGGACATTTTTTTCTATTTTTTTTTGTTCAGATAGAGCAGGAGGGAGAGAGAGGAACAGAGAGAAAGAGAGAGAAACATTGACGTGAAAGGGACACATCAAGTGGCTGCCACCTGCACAACCAACCAGGGCCGGGGACAAACTGCAACCGAGGCACATGCCCTTAGCGGAAACCAGACCCATGTCTCTCTGGACCGCAGGCTGACGCTCTAACCGCTGAGCCAAACCGGCCAGGGTTCTCTTTATTTTTTTAAATTAAAAAAATGTGAGGTCTAGGTTTGCTTGTAACAGGCTTATGCACTTGGAGGTTGATTAATAAACATGAATAGTGTAGCTAATTGTGTTACCTGGCTGAACACACAGAGGGCCTCCTGGAGAGCGTGGCAGGAAGGCGGCAGGCCACTTTCTGCAGCCGGGAAACTATGGGAGCTGTTGTCACTGGGATCACAGAAAAGCCATCTCCAAAACAGTGACCCCGAACTTAGTCTCCATTGTGATAGGTTCTTGATGGGCCTCGAACTTCTGTTATTAATTGTTAAAGTGTCCCAGACATCAATATTTGAGAAAACATCTAAAATAAGCTTTTTAAATTTTAACTGAAGTGTTATTTATACATGTTATATAGCATACCGCTCCATGAGTTTTGACAAGTGTATCACTTTATATCCAACTTAATTTTTTTTTTTAACTTTGGTGTAATTTCAGACACAGAAATGTGTAAAAAAGAGGACGGAGAATTCCTGGATGCTCTCCACACAGATTTCCAAATGTCAACATGCTGTTGTTTTCCCACTCTCCCTCCCCTCTTTTCTCTCTTTCTCTCCTTACTGCCCCCACCCACGTTTTTCTTTCTGAATCACTTAGCCGTATGTTGCCGATGTGATTCCCCTTTACTTCTAAATGTATCAGTATGTATTGCCTAAAAACAAGGACTTCTCTCGCATAACAACAGTACAATGATGAAAATCAGGAACTTAACATGAAAAAATGCTATTACATAATGTACAGATCTTACTGAGATTTCTTTTTATCTTCCCCCGAGGACATTTTTGCATTTATCTTCAGATAGAATTTATCTTCAGATAGAGCAGGAGGTAGAGAGGGAGGAAGAGAGAGAAACATCGATGTGAGAGAGACACATTGAGTGGTTGCTACTCACACGACCCCAACCAGGGCCGGGGACAAACTACAACCAAGGTACGCGCCCTTAGCGGGAACCAAACCCACGTCTCTCTGGACCGCAGGCTGACGCTCTAACCGCTGAGCCAAAACAGCCAGGGCGAGATTTTTTTTTTTTAATCCTCACCTGAGGATATTTTTCCATTTATCTTCAGAAACCATGGGAGGGAGGGAGAAGGGGTGAGGAGAGAGAGAAAAGCATCGATGTGAGAGAGACACTTCGACTGGTTGCCTCCCGCACGACTCCGACCAGGGCCAGGGACTGAACTGCAACCGAGAATTGAACCCACAACTTTTTAGTCTAACTGCTGAGCTAAAGTGGCCAGGTTTTATTGAGATTTTAATTATCCCAATAAAGTCTTTTTGTAACAGGCCAGTTATTCTATAGAGTGTCCCTCAGTTGGATTCTTCTGACACTTTCTCCCGATTAGATTAGGTTATACCTTTTGGCTAAAACATTATAGAAGTGCTGCTGACTTCACCAGGAGGCTCTGCTGTCCTCTGGCCCCATTACTGGCAATGGTGACTTTGATTGGTTCAGACGGTGTCTGCCAGGTTTCTGCTTTGCACATTTTAATTGTAACTAAAAAGTAAGTTGTGGGGGTATATTCTCAGACTATGTATGTGACTATCCTGTTACTTCTCAAAATTTCATCCACTAGTTCAGCATTCCTTGATGATTCTTGCCTGAATCACTTATGATGATGATGACTGGTAAATGGAGAGTTTTCTTATTTCATCTTTCCTCTTACCTACATTAGACATTTCTGTATAGTAAGGAAGAGCTTTCTGTCCACCCCACCTTATACTTAATCAATTGTTTATATCACTGTGGACTCATGGATTCATTTTTTTTTTTAACTTTTATTAATTTATTTTTTCTCCTTTTTCCCCCATTGACACCCTCCTCCCTAACCTGCCCCACCCTGCCTCAGCATTGTTGGTTATGTCCATTGGTTACACATACATGCATATAAGTTCTTTAGTTTATCTCTTCCCTCTTCCCTCCATCCCCTTTCCCACTCTTCTGAGGTTTATTAGTCTGTACCCTACTACTATGTCTCTGGGTCTATTTTATTCATCAGCTTATTCTGTTCATTATATTCCACAAACAACTGAGATCATGTGATATTTGACTCTCTCTGACTGGCTTATTTCACTTAGGATAATACTCTCCAGGTCCCTCCATGTCATCTCAAAGGGTAAGAGACCTTGCTTTCTTACAGCTGCATAGTATTGAATTGTGTACGTGTACCACAGCTTTTTTATCCACTCATCTAGTGATGGGTGATGGACACTTGGGCTGTTTCCAGATCTTAGCAATTGTGAATAGCACTGCTATGAACTTAGGGGTACATATATTCCTTCTGATTGATGTTTCAGGCTTCTTAGGATATATTCCTAGAAGTTGAGGAAACACCATATTGTTTTCCATAGTGACTGCACCAGTCTGCATTCCCACCAGCAGTGTACTAGAGTCCCCTTTTCTCCACACCCTCGCCAGCACTTGTTATTTGATGATTTGTTGATGGCGGCCATTCTGGCAGGTGTGAGGTGATACCTCATAGTTGTTTTAATTTGCACGTTTCTGATGATTAGTGATGTTGAACATTTTTTCATATATCTCTTGGCCATTTGTGTGTCCTGTTTGGAGAGGGGTCTATTTAGTTCCTCTGCCCATTTTTTTTTTTTTTTATCCTCACCCAAGGACATTTTTCTATTTTTTGTACAGATAGAGTGGGAGGGAGAGAGAGGAAGAGAGAGAGAGAAACATCGACGTGAAGGGGCACATCGAGTGGCTGCCACCCGCACGACCAACCAGGGCGGGGGACAAACTGCAACCGAAGTACGTGCCCTTAACGGGAACCGAACCCGGGTCTCTCAGGACCGCAGGCCGACGCTCTAACTGCTGAGCCAAACTGGCCAGGGCCCTCTGCCCATTTTTTAATTGGGTTCTTTGTCTTCCTTTTGTTTAGTTGTATGAGCACTCTATATATTTTGGAAATTAACCCCTTATCTGATGTATCGTTGGCAGTGATGCTCTCCCATACAGTAGGTTCCGTTTCCATTTTGATGCTTGTTTCTTTTGCTGTGCAGAAGCTTTTTAATTTAATGTAGTCTCATGTATTACTTTTTTCCTTTGTTCTTCTTGCCTTAGGCGTTGTATCAGTGAAAATTTTGCTTCCTGTGATGTCTGAAATTTTGTTGCCTACAATTTCTACTAGGATTTTTATGGATTCATGAGTCACATTTAAATCTTTTATCCATTTTGAGTTTATTCTTGTGTATGGTGTAAGTTGGTGGTCTAGCTTCATTTTTTGCACATAGTGTCCATTTTTATCCTCACCCGAGGACATTTTTCCATATTGTGTTCAGGTAGACTGGGAGGGAGAGAGAGGAAGAGAGAGAGAAACATCGATGTGAAAGGGACATATCGAGTGGCTGCCACCCGCACGACCAACCAGGGCCAGGTACAAACTGCAACCGAGGTACGTGCCCTTAGCGGGAACCGAACCCGGGTCTCTCTGGACCACAGGCCGACACTCTAACCGCTGAGCAAGACCGGCCAGGGCTGTCATCAATTTCTTGATGTTAATTTCTTATCCTGCTACTTTGCCAAATTCATTTATTAGCTCTAGTAGATTTTTGATGGAGTCTTTTCGGTTTTCTATGTACAATATCATGTCATCTCCAAATAATGACAGTTTCACTTTCTTCTTTCCAATTTGGATTCTTTTTATATTTTCCTTTTTTCTAATTGCTGTGGCTACGACTTCCAGTACTATGTTAAAAAAGAGTAACGAAAATGGGCATCCCTGTCTTGTTTCTGTTCTTAAGGGAAATGCTTTTAGTTTCTGCCCATTGAGTATGATGTTGGCTGTAGGTCTTTCATATATGGCCTTTGTTATGTCAAGGTATGATCCCTCTATTCCCACATTGCTGAGTGTTTTTAACTGAAATGGATGCTGGATTTTGTCGAATGCTCTTTCAGCATCTATTGATATGATCATGTGGTTTTTATTCTTCATTTTGTTTATGTGGTGTATCACATTAATTGATTTGCAAATAATGTATCAGCCTTGCAAGATGAATCCCACTTGGTCATGGTGAATAATTTTTTTGATGTATTTCTGGATCCGATTTGCTAGTATTTTGTTCAGGATTTTGGCGTCTATGTTCATCAGGGATATTGGCCTGTAGTTTTCTTTCTTTGTAGTGTCTTTTTCTGGTTTTGGAATTAGAATTATGCTGGCCTCATAAAACGAGTTTGGAAGTCTTCCTTCTTGAATTTTTTGAAATAGTTTGAGGAGAATGGGTGTTAGTTCTTTTTTGAATGTTCGGTAAAACTCCCCAGTGAAGCCATCTGGGCCTGGGCTTTTGTTTGCTGGGAGTTTCTTGATTACATCTTCAATTTCCTTAGTTGTTATTGGTCTGTTCAAGTTTTTATCTCTTCTCGGTTCAGTTTTGGGAGACTCTGTGTTTCTAGAATTTTGTCCATTTCGCCCAGATTGTCCAATTTGTTGGCGTATACTTGTTCATAATATTTTTTAATG